AATCCCCTTTTCTGCCCAGCGATTTTCGCACCTGCGGACCTAGGACCGCACCTACGATCACGCACCTGCGGACATCCCATCGCAGGTGTGAAGTCCACTTACTTGGTCTGGGTCCGCACCTGCGCGCTTGAGTCCGCACCTGCGGATGCGCTTCTGCGTTCAATCGTCCGCTTCTGCGGAACATTGGGTCCTTCTCACCTCCGCATCTGCGACTGCCCTTCCGCGGATGCGGCTCCGCTCCTGCGGCTCACTCATCACATCTGTGACCATTGACTCCCCGGCCTAAAAGCGCACCTGCAATCCCAGCCTCGCTTCTGCTAGGCCGCACCTGCGGACTCCCTACTGCAGGTGCGAAAACACTAGAACCAGCAACTCAAAAATTCCTCTAAGTCCAAGCTTTCACCCGTTAAGCACCTGAAATACACCCGAGGCCCCCGGGACCTCAACCAAACCTACCAACCAATCCTATAACACCATACAAACTTAGTTGAGCCTTCAAACCACATCGAACAACACCAAAATCATGAATTAAGCACGGATTCAAGCCTAAGAATTTAGAATTTTTTAATTTCTACAAACGACGCCGAAATACGTCAAATCTAGTCCGAATGACCTCAACTTTTACACATAGGTCACAAATGACACTACGAACCTACAGCCACTTCCGGAAATCCATTCCGAGCTCGATATAAAAAATTTCACTATCGGCCGAAATCGCCAAAAATCTAACTTTCGCCAATTCAAGCCTAAATCTACTACAGACCTCCGGAACACATTCCGGACACACTCCTAAGCTCAAAATCACTCAACGGAGCTAACGGGGTCGACAGAATTCCATTCTGGATCCGTCTTCATACAGTTTCGACTACGGTCCAATCTCTAAGGCTTAAACTCACAACTAGGGACTAAGTGTCCCAAAACTCCCCGAATTCCATAACCAATCACTCCGGCAAATTCCAAAAGCAGAAACAAATATGGGAAAAATAGATATTAGGGGATCGAGGCTCTAATTCTCAAAATGATCGGCCGGGTCGTTACATGCGGTCCAATCTCTAAGGCTTAAACTCACAACTAGGGACTAAGTGTCCCAAAACTCCCCGAATTCCCTTAACCAATCACTCCGGCAAATCCCAAAAGCAGAAACAAATATGGGAAAAACAGATATTAGGGGATCGAGGCTCTAATTCTCAAAACGACTGGCCGGGTCGTTACATGTTCTCATGTACATTCTCATCCTCCATAGCTATTTGCATATTTGCCACTCTGTCATTTCTGTTATCGGCATTTCTGTCATTTGGTTGGTACTGTTTTACGTATAATTGGTGAGGATGAGATAAATGCACGAAGGATGTTGCCGTGCCGTTGGATTTGATATATTGAGTATATTTCTCACATTATAAAAGTTTTGAGGTAATTGTTGTGATTTATTGGCTTTCTCTCTCAGGAAAGGATTGGGTGAGATATTGATACCTGTTGAATTGTGTTTTCTTTTAGTACTCCGTTATTGCTTTGTATAATCGTTTCGTGTGCTCTACTATATTGTATTGTAGTATAGTTCTATTGTTAGTTTACATTACAGGTTTTATCAATGAGCATCTTTTAACCAAAGCCTCGTCACTACTTCGACGAGGTTAGACAAGATACTTACTCAATACATGGGGTCAGTTATACTGATACTACACTTCTGCACATTGCGTTCAGATGTTGGCTGTTATTGCTGCTGTGCTCGATGGTTGTCGGGATTGAAGATGTACCTGCATTCCTGTTGTAGCAGCCTCTTGTTCATGGTAGTCTTAGATTTATAAAAATAAAAATAAAAAACTCTGTTTATGTACTTTTCAAACAGAAGATGTATTTACTTCATATCAGCTTGTAAATTCTATTCTTAGAAGCTCATGATTTGTACTACCAGTCCTTGGGGATGTATAAGACTCAGATAATTCCTTTGTTTAATTGTTTTATTAAGTTAATTGAAAATGGATAATCGTTAATTGACTTACCTAACGGGTTGGGTTAGGTGTCATCACGACTAGTGGATTTCGGATCGTGACATCTCAAAATTCAGGTGTTCTTTGATTTCAGAAAATATTGATATTTTATGTGAATTCTAATATCTATGTTATATCAAACTCTATTTTATCAAGTATTACGGTAATATGTTCTCAGCTAAAATATAATACCGTTGTACCATCTCTACGTTTTCTTGCTATACAGACATTACTCAAATTTGATTCCTGGATTCAAATTGACTTTGTACTTCGGATGCCTACTTCTAAAAATTTAAATGATCTTATTTTAATTGATTTACCATGAATAGTTTTAGCTTGACAATTATTATTAAAATTGTTGAGAAGTTTCATTTTGTGAGACTAAAATTGACAATGCAAAATTAAAAGAAAAAAATACTAAGGAAAATATTTAAAATAATATCTTTTGCTTGTAATTGTATAGAAACACGTTGTCAGTTATATATATATTTGACTTAAAATACATTGCTAATTTCTTTGTTGGAATTAGGAATAAACAGATAGTTGAAACAAAAAATCAACATAAAATAAGTTTTAATAATTTGCTTCCAAATTTTGAAAATGAAAAGTACACATTTAATCTGGAAAAGATTAAATCTCTACAAAATTGAGTATAATAGAATAAAAAACAAAAGCACCAAAAGACAGTAAACACAATTCTTACGTATAGTAGGCATTAACGTGTATATAGCGACTTGAGCTATTTTGCTATAAAAAGTAAAAGTAAAACAATGACTATGTTAACTTCTTATTTTTAGTTATTTTTTGTATCGTACTTCTTAATTTTTGGAGTTCAAGTAAATATTAAACCCAAAAACCTAAAAGAAACATATATAATTGCACGCTGCAAATCCCAAGTAGTTGGGGTTACCAATAAGTTTCAAGTAGTTGGTATATTTCAGCTTTTTAGATATGAATAAAATTGAGAATAACCATATTGGTTTAGATAACTTTGATCTCCTTTCCTTTTTTTATTTGAAACAAATTCACAATTTAATCTGATTCTGAAAAATGAGGAGTGAACACTTCTATAAAAGTAGCCCGTATTCCAAATGCTAGATCATAAACTTTTTAAGAAGTATTAGTTTTTAGCTTTGGTAGAAGAAGAAAAGAAAGTTTGGCAAACTTTTCGAGAGGTATTTAACTTTTTATTTTTTTTGTAGAGACTTGATTGCATGGTAAATTTTTTTTATCTTACTGAGAAAAATAACGTTCATGAATTATGGGTAGTCTATTCTTGATTGTTTAGATATTTAATCCAGAAATTATGGTCAACTTATCGAGACGTATAGGTTTGTTGGCTTTTATACAGGTCAATTTGATTGGTCGATTTCAAAAAATATTTCGGTCGCTTTGTTTATATCATAGAATCGTTAGATCTTTTAATCTTTGTTATTATCCGTTTAGATCTTCTAACTCCTTGTTATTGCTATTGCCGGCACAAGTTGCCACTTTTGATTAAAATATTATTTGATTTTTCCTTTAAATTAAATGGATATACTACAATAGATAATAAAAAGTTATTTTATCTTTAGATTATATATTATTTCGCAGCTTTTTCTTAGTTGTTACAGGTGTTTTGAGAATGACATTGGAAGTTGATCATTAATAGGATATAAAAACGCAAGAGGTGAAGGTTTGCAGTTAAGCTTTTGTGGGCGAAGAAATAATTATTTTTTGTACATTTGTATTATATTTTTAACTTGTCGGTATTTATTTTTTGGTAACTTGTCTAGACGGTACTTCTCGATGAACATGAAGTGGAAAGATATATTAGAACAAAACAAAAGCTACTACATCATAAATGGCCGTGAAGGATCATATTGTATATTTCTAAATTACAAGACCTTAATTAAATTAATTAGTTTTGCCCGTTTAGAAGATGTTCAATTATTTTGAGTTCAAGTATTATGCTAATATAATATAGTAATATTGATTATCGACATTTAAATGATTATTATATTTTTTAATGTCAATTTCTTTACTGGTATTGCTTCACATAAATAATTGACTGAATCATTGTGTGTTGATATTAACGTACAACACAACTGCATACAAACTAGTTAGTTCTAAATTTATTTATGTTTTTTATATCAGAAATTTAGTAGCATATGGCTAGAAAGTAAATAATGAATATGATTCCAACCATGGTAGATTCAAAGAGCAGCTGCAAGTTGCAGGTTCCTCACAAGATGAAGTCCCTATTTATTTTCAATAATCTGAAGCAGCAAAGAAGCAATTCGTTGCAAATTGGTTTGCAAACGCTGGTTTTCTCTAATCTCCTCTCATTACTTCGTCCCCTGTTTCGTTAACAATTGCAATACTAATGGTAAACTCTGCTCCCCTTTGCTCTTGTTTTACTTGATGGAAATTATCTAAAATATGTAGAGTTTCTGCACGGTAAGGTTTATCAAATCGTGTGGGTTTAGGGTTTTTCTATGCGGGTCGGCCCAATGATCATTCACTTAGTTTGGAAGCATCCTGTGGTGACTTAATTTTATTCTCTGATAGAAATTACTCTGCTATGAGTTATTATATCTGTAATATTCTCACTAGGCAATGGATTGTTCTTCCTCCAGCTCCTCCAGAAAGAGGGGTTTTTGGTGAGAGCGTTGGGTTCTTGTACGAGCCTTTGGATAATGATGATCGACACTAGATGTGGCAAACATGCGGGTCGGGTCGTATATGAGACGAGTCGAAAATGGGTAGTGCAAAAACAGATAAATTATCCAACCCGGTCCATATTTAATACGGATAAAAAATGGATTAACTGGCGGATAATGTGATTATCCATATTGTCCATGACTTCTTGAATATGATCACTTTTGGAAAAATTACTAATCTCCCAAACTTGAGAAACCCTCGATTTGAGGCTTTACAAATATAAAAATTAAACTCATTAGTTATCCATTGGTTATTTATTTTCTAAGTGGATAATATAGTTCTTATTCATATTTGATCCGTTTTTAAAAAATTCATTATTCAACCCATTTTTAATAGATAATATGGGTGGATAACTATTTTCTTTTATCCATTTTGCCACCACTAATCGACACAATAAGTATCTGAAGGCGTTACGATTTATTCCTTGTGATAGGTATTCTCATGAAGGCAATTCTATGTTTATTGTCGAGATATTTTCGCCCAACAAGAGCAATTAGACCAAACTTGTTGTTATGTCTCCGCGGATTTTGAAAAGTTCGGGTTCTAAGACTTCGATTATTGCCTGCGGACGGACGTTATATACATTGAATTATAGCAATGGCATTACGGTTAATTGTATTCTCACGTTTGATCCATTCACTAATGATCCTGCTCAGTTCCTATGCGTTATTGATTTACCACCTGAGGCTCGTGATATTCGTTGTATGGCCAGCGAATTGGGAGTGTGTCGAGGTTGTTTACATCTTGCTCGAGTAAATCTCCAACCAAGTACATACCCTTGTATAAGTGTATGAGAGCTTGAGGATTACAGAAGGGGAAATGGACGTTGGTACACAAGAGAATCCGGACGAACAAGGCATTAAGAGTGCCCCTATTTCGTTGTGATACCAAGAATTTGATTTATGTACTAGCTTTTCTCCCAAATAATGTGGATCTTATATGTTTTCGTGCAGGTAATTATCATGTTGTCGTGTACAATATACAAACAGATAAAGTGGAAAGCTCTACCCGCTATTCTCTATTCACGCTGCATGATCCACCAAGATTACTAGTATCAGATGTGTTACCAATTGCCAAAAATGGTGGCCAACTCCGGTAAGACATCCCTTTGATCTCAGAGCTTCCTATCAAAGAGTGAGTCTTGGTCATTTGGATTAGAGTTGTTGATGATCATTCTTATCTTTTTCTTCTTCTTGTCCATATTTAGTTCATTCAGGATGTTTTAGGCCATATGATGTAGTGTTGAAATACAAGCATATTTTTTTTTTTATGAAGTAAGTAGGATATAATATAAAAAGGCATCAAGAAGATGCAATAAGGTTATACAAGAAGTGAGTTTGTCAGTTCATTTATAATTTAAGTGCTACAAAACTAGAGAGCTGACAAAATCAAAAATAAAAATAAAAATTAGAGTCATTTACAGCAGTGAGGTTAGCCCAGTGAAACAAGTTAATCAAACATTTAGCCTTAAAGGAGCATATTGAAGTTGATAACCCATCAAAACATCTACTATTCCTTTCGGTCCAAATACACCAAAAAATACTTGCAGGTACTATATTCCAGATTTTCCTGATGGCTCTGTCAACTTTCTTTGAACTGCAGCTCACATAGGCATCTCTGACAGAGGAGCATAGTCCAATGCAAACCAAAAATACTGAGAAACATGTTCCATATTTCTGTGGCTACTGAAAAAAAGGGCAGCTCGCTGCACTAAGCTCCTACTATGTGTGGGGTCCGGGAAGGGCCGGACCATAGAGGTCTATTGTACGCAGTGTTACCCTGCATTTCTGCAAGAGACTGTTTCCACGGCTCGAACCAGTAACCTTCTGGTCACATGGCAATAACTTTACCAGTTACGCTAAGGCTCCCCCTCATTTCTGTGGCTACTTCTGTGGCTACTGAATAGTGGAGAAAAAGATGGTTAATGGATTTTGAATTCGGTTGGCACATGCAACATCTATTGGCCAGTTGGAAACAACTTCTGCTGAGGTTGTCTTGGGTGAAGCGGGCACCCTTTAAAGCCAACCAGCTGAAGTAGCACACTTTAGGTGGTGGGTTTTTTTTTTCCATTCTAGTTTCCAGGGCCATAAATCAATCGTTATATTATTGGAGCACAGGTCAACATACTCTGCCTTGACAGAGTAAATTCCATCCTTAGTGTTTCCCCATTTCATTTTGTCCTTCTGCTGAGTGTTAACAGTGCGCTCTCTAGTAATTTCATCACGTTTATGAATTCCTCCACCTCCCAATCTTATAGGTTCCTTGTAAGGTTTGGGCTCCATGAGTGGCCTTCCCTGTTTTGAGCAACAAGAGATTCTGGATTTGCTGCAATAAGAAAGGGATTTGGAAAAGCTTCTTTTACTGTTGAGTCCCCTAACCATTTCTAAGTCCTGAATTTTGTGGTGGCCGCATCATCAATCTGAAAATGGATGTTTTTAGAAAAAGCTCAGTAGTATATGCTCTTCCATAACCCTGTGCCATGAGGAGGTTGAACTACAAGCATGTTGACTTAGAAATATAGTACTTCAATGTATTAGAGAACTCATAGTGTTAGATAATCTGTAAATACGAAATTTTGAAACATTATGCATCCAACCGGAGCATTTTGATATTTAGGAGTCGTACACCAACACTAACAGAATGAGGTGCAGTAATTGTTATTTCTGTTGTTGTTAGAATCCAAGGCCTCCTAGGTGCTTGTTTTTGCTATTTCTTGCCGGCCGATCAAGTGTGATTTTCATTTTCTCCATTGGTTGTTCTCCAAATGAAGTTCCTTCGAGTTCTACCTAAGTCTCTAGTGATACACATGGTGTAATGACTCAACTGGTCATTTTAACTTTTGGAACCCCATTCCCTAAAATAAAACTTTTCGTATATATTTTTAATAATTTACGACTTGCGGGGATAGTTGGTTCGGGATTTGGAAGTGTTCGGGTTGAAATCGGAATACTTGGTTCCTTAAGTTAGCCTTAAGCAAGTATTTTTAGAAAAACGACCTCGGAATCGGGATTTGACTGTTCTAATAGGTTCGTATGATGATTTCGGACTTGGGCGTATGTTCGAATCGGGATTTGGATAACCCAGGAGCGTTTTGGCAATTAATAGTAAAAATCGACTATTTGAAGGTTTAATGTTCTTTAAATTTGGTTTGGAGTAGGTTTTGGAGTAATCGAGGTTCGTTTGGAATTTCGAGCCTGGGAATAGCTCCGTATAGTGATTCTGGTCTTAGGAGCATATTCGGAATTTTATTTGAAAGTCTATAGTTGAATTAGACTTGAAATGGCTAAAACAAGAATTTAAGTTTGGAAGTTTGACGGGGGAGTTGACTTTTTGATATCGGGGTCGGATTTCGATTCCGGAAGTTGGAGTAGGTCCGTAATGTCGAATGTGACTTGTGTGCAAAATTTGAGGTCAATCGGACATGATTTGATAGGTTCCGGAATCGAATGTAGAAGTTTGAAGTTCTAAAGTTCATTAAGCTTGAATTTGGGTGTGATTCATGATTTCGATGTCGTTTGATGTCATTTGAGGCCTCGAGCAAGTTTATGTTATGTTATGGGACTGGTTGGTATGATTGGACGGGGTCCTGGGGGCCTCGGGTGTGTTTCGGATCATTTCGAGCTGTTTTGCAATAGCTGATACTGGTGTCTGGTGTTGTTCTTCGCGTTCGCGAGGATCCTCTCGCGTTCGCGAAGAAGGATTTGGCTTCTGAGATTTTGTTCTTCGCGTTCGCGAAGAAGAAAATCTTTGTTCCGTAGGTCTAACTTCGGAGGCTCATATCTCACAATCTATAAGGAATTTTGAGATAATCCGAAACTGAAAATTGTAACCCTTTGTGTCTAGTTTTAAGAAAAGTAAACCATTTAGCATTTGGATTTGTTTACAAAAAGTTATGGTTGTTACACTACAGGCTGTCCGGGAAGATGAAGAAGCAATTTGTGTTGCATAGGGCTGATTTTGGCAGCTTATATCTCAAAATCTATAAGGAGTTGGGAGATGATCAACATATGAAAGTTATAGCCCTTGATGTCTAGTTTTCATAAAGTCAAACCATTTGTGATTTGGAGTTTTGTACAAAATGTTATGACCATTATACTAGAGGCTGTCTGAGAAGAGTTTGAAAATGGCTTCTGAGAATTTTGTTCTCGCGAATGCGATGAAGGGTCGCCTGGGCAGTGTATAAGTTTGAAAAAATGGGTTTGGCTCATTTCATCTCATTTCCTCCATGGGAGCCGACCTAGGAGCGATTTTGGAGCTCCATTTTCATCATTTATGTCAAGGTAAGTGATTCCTACTTATTGCAAGTTAAATACTTGGTTTATATACGAATTTAGGCGTGAAAATTCATGAAAATTAGTAGAAATTTGGGGTTTTGAAGAAAAACCTAGAAATTGATATTTTTGGATTTTAACCACGAAAATTACTATGGGATTTGGATGGAAATAGCATATTTGAGTTCTTGAGATTTTGGGTAACGATTCTCTCCGAAAATTTTCGAAATCGAAGCACGTGGGCCCGGGGTGAATTTTAGGAATATTATCATTTTGAATAGGGTAATTTATTTAATAGATGAATGTCGAATTTTTGAACATATATTAATTATTTTGTATAATATTTGGATAGCTTCGGATTTTTCGGCATTGAATCGAGAATTTTACGCGACGCGGTAATCGGAAAGTGGACCTTGAGACAAGGTAAGTCTCTTGTCTAATCTTGTGAGGGAAAAATTACACCATAGGTAATTAAATTAATAATTATTGCTAATTGTGGGGGCTATGTACGTACAAGGTGAATAGAGTCCGTGCGTAGCAACTATTAATGCTAAAGTCCGGGTAGTTTAGGACTCAAAGCATGAATTACTTGTGTAAATTGTATCCGTTATTTAATTACATTATTTGATATATATCGTAAATTTTTAGTGAGAGATAGTAAAAGATGGAAATCTCATATGCTTATTTCTGTTTAAATTAATTAATTGTTAAAAGAAATTGTTCATCCTCTCGAATTTATCTTATAATAAACATACTCTCATTCCGGAGGTACATAAGAAAATGTCATCCTTTCTTGTGGAGCGGGCCGAACGCCTCGGCAGGATAGATGCATCTACGGATCGTGCCGCACGTCCCTCGGCAGTGTACACGACACTCTGGATCGGGCCGAACGACCTCGACAGAAAACGTGCTTAATAATAATAATTACACGATACTTTGATAGTTTATTTCAGCTTGTGAAGCTAATTGAAATTTTGAAATTATTGGAATTTAAATAATTTATTTATCTCTGCTTGTTAAGGAAATTATTGTTATTTTTGTAAATGAGGCTAATTGATAAATTGGAAATTTATTGGAATTGAAGGTATTTAATTACTTCTGCGGGTTCAATAAAATTATTGTTAACTCTGTGAATCACGTTGATATAAATATTTCTATTTTCATGATTATTTAATATTATTGACCCATAGTGAGTGTCAAAGTCGGCCATCTCGTCTCTACCTCTTCGAGATTAGGCTTGATACTTACTGGGTACGCGTTGTTTTTGTACTCATGCTGCACTTGCTGCACATTTTATTGTGCAGGTACATATATATCTAGCGGCCTTGTGGGCGCAAAGGTGTGGTTAATAATTGTCGGGACATAGGTGAGCTGCATTCTGTATTACGATCCGCAGCCAACAGAGTCTCCTTCAGAAATATTATATTTTCCTGTCTAATTTGTATTCTGGACAGATGATGTAGTTTATTTTTAATTCCCTAGTAAATGCTCGTGCACTTGTGACACCGGATTTTGGGATGATTATGGGTTGCACTGTATTGAAAATTTTTAAAGATATTATTACGTATTTTATAAACTTCATCTTCTGCTATTTAATTGAGGGGAATAACTATGACTTCAAAAATATTAAAATGAGAATTTATTTAGTATTTTTTGTTGGCTTGTCTGATAGCAGTGTCCGGCGCCATCACGACCTTTATGAATTTTGGGTAGTGACACATGGATGGGTAGCTATTTTGCATAACACAACTAGCTATGGAAGCAGATGTGAACTCAACTTTGCAAAGACACGAGCCTTCCGACAATAGTGAGTAATTTAAACTTTCATCCTTTTAATTTATTTCTAATTTTATCAGGAACAGTAAATTGCTAGTCTTTTTTCTTTTGTCCTGTATCCATTACCATACTTAGGGAGAATCAAATCTCCTACAAGAACTTGAGATCATTGACAAGGATTCATATACCCCTGAAAAATTCGACCAACAAGGAGTGCAAGAGCAAGCCATTATTTATCTATATCTATTTATTGGGTTTGTGTATTTGTCTCTCTGTCTGCAGGCACGTTACGTTGAATTAGATAAAATGAAGTTAAGAATTGGAAAGGACATTTTCAAACCAAGAAAGGGTTGAATCTAGTTATGCTTTCCATGAACTAAATAACCAAAATCTCCACCTCAGTGATTTTCACAGATGATGTTGAGAACTAATTGGAAAAAGAAATAATTCTGTTACAAGTAAAACTGTAAATAATTTTAGTTAAAGTTCAGGATTCAACTTGCCTCTAATGTTTTTCTTTCTTATATTATATTTATATTTAATAATTTATTTTCAACAATCTAACCGACGAACTCCTTCATGAAATCGTCATTAGACTACCAAGCAGCAAAGAAGCAACTCGTTGCTAGAGTTGATGCTCTCAAATCTCCTCTCATTACTTCGTTACTACCTCTGTGGCTCTGTCATTCATAGGGCTGCTTATCGGGCGGATTGGGCGGTTATTTACTCTTAACGGTTTGGCTTATCGGCTTTTAAATGTATTAATCCGCTAGCCATCCGATAAGATATCGGGCGGATTGGTATCGGTTTAGCTCTTATCGGGCGGTTTATCGGATTGTTTGCTGACCGCTGTGACTCAAAATAAAATTCATATGCTCAGCAGACTACATTCCAGTCTATAGAATATGGCACCTAAGAAGAGAGCTAAATAGAAGAAATATAGAGCTACATTCCAGCGTATTTCCCAGTAGAATCATCTCTGGGGATGAGCCTATTAACAATTTATAACTATTAGAAAAAATAGAAGACAACACTGGGTATAACACATGACATCAAAATTATTNTCCATTAAGAAAATTGAATAATCCGCCCCCAAACCGATAAGCCGTTAATAAAAATATTTCAATTCATTCCCCGTCCGTTAAACCGATACCAATAAACCATTAAGTTTCGATTTCGATTCGGTTTTCGGTTTCGATTTCGGTTCGGTTTTGAACACCCCTGGTCATTCACCAGCGAAATAAGGATAAAACTATTCGCCCCTTTACTCTTGTTTTACATGGTCGGAAAATTTATTTATCCACATATGTTTACAATTTTCTTGATTTTTTTAGAATTTCTATGTAAATATACCTCTTTTTCGTGATTTATATCTTTTAAAATATTTATTCCAATTATATTAATTTATAAATTATTAAAAATTAAAGATTTATCGGCTTGCACCTTGCCTCGCCTCGCGCCTTTTGAAATACCAATATAAATCTATATGTCAAATCCAAATAAAGGAGTGAAACCATACTACCAGAATACGAGAATATGGCAACAGACTAGTTAAATATGAAAGTAAGAAGTGGGAAGAAAAATGATAGGTGATTTTTCTTGTTCCTTATTGTATGCGCATAAAAAAAGATTTTCCTAAAAAGAAAAAAAACCCACGAACAGACGAAGAAATAATGGGGCTGCTGTGCAATGAGACATTCAAAGACTACTCGCCATGTTCGGAACAAGAAAAAGGCACTCTCTTTTTTTCAATAATCTAACTGACGAATTGCTGATTGGAAACTTAATTGAACAAAAACATTCAATATTTTTTTATTTTTGAGAGCAGCCAAAGAAGTTACACTACCACGTCGGTTGGATGTAAGGAGTCTTACCAAATATACCGTTCAGTATCTTTAATTCCATAAGTTTTTTTTGAGTGAAACACCTTTGAGCCCCATTTCATATTTTGTTTTTATTAACATTAATTTAAATAACTAGATTATATAAAGTTTCGATAAATATTTATTCATACTCACTGTTGGCACGAGATCAAACAATCTAATCTTATATAATTTGTTTTAATTGATCGTTGTAATTAAATACCAGATATGAATAAGTATTTTTCAGCTTCTATTTCTTTACATATAGTCACTACATAAGCCAAAAAAAAAGACATAGTTCTTGAAGTTGAAACCTTACATCGCTTTAATGCAGTGATGGTAACAGTCGACATTCTCCCAACTTTTAAGGCTAGCTTTTTGTGATGAAATTAACACTGTGCTCAGGATCCCTGAATTTGCCCCATTTGCCATATACATATTCCCTTTCTTGCTATCTGTCCCAGCTATTTCCAACTTACCTACTAGGGACGCATGTGCATTGTTACAAAGGCATGCATAGGTTCGCCACTTGAATACCTTTCGCAGAAAAATTATATTACGTATATAGGTCAAATATTAAATATTACTGTTTATACATAAATATTAAATCATGAACATCTCAAAACACTCCTTAGTAAAAAATAAATATATATATTAACTTCGCCACTGAACTGGCTATTAATGTATTATGCCAAATGAATATATGTCTCATCTTGAATCTTATGTGATCTTCTATTTATGTTATCCAATTTGTTAAGTATGAGTTGGTCCCAAATAGTGGTTTTCCTCCTTCCTTGTGCATGCATACTCCAAGAAAACCAGGCAAAATTTTCGTCAAAAGAGAGTCAAATTGAAAAGATGTTGATTTGAAGAGGAAAACAAAAGTAGCTTTGAAGGTTCCTTTATCTCTTAGTTGCATTTATAGAATTTTTGGAGTATCCACAAAATTGGACATTGCCCTATTCTATTTTAGTCATACCCCACTTGCCCCATTTAAGCTGTCTCGTGCAACGTATCTGCCTGAAAAACTTTTCCATCTTTCTAACATCAAATATAAATTTCTTCTCTTTGTTTTTTATTTGCTTATTGATGAAGAAGGGGACCTCAAGATTTTAATAGGAATAAAAGGTTTGGAATTTTGTCATTTGCAAGCTTTCTCTCAAATTAATCATTCAGCCAATGAATTGGCAACATCCATCAGATTATGTGTACCCAATCTACTATTTTAGAGTCCCAAGTCCTAATGGAACAATTGAAAATTTAAGTTCAGTGTGCCTCCTGTCGTTGCTACCTAATTATGTCCGAATCTTGAATTTGAAGTTTATAAGTTTTATAACGACCTGCAAATTAAGACACAATAATAATAATAGGTTTTACAATCAAATATTTATAAAAATTCCGTGGCCAAAAAATATCGGTTCCTGTAAACCCATTAATTGTGCTCTAGATCCACCATTGATTGGGTCTGCCCGTTTCACTTAACTATGTAAAAGGAAAAAAAGGTACTTCACCAGTTTTATTTTATGTGGCATTAATTTTTAAATATTTTTTGGATTAGTAACTATTGTAACTTATAGTATGGAATAGTTTCTATGGTGTTTTTGTATATTCAAACTTTTTTAAATAAACTCCGTATATAAAATTTAATATTTGACTATAGTTAATATCGTCCCATAAATTGAAACGATAAAGTATTATTATATGTAGAAAGAGGTTATTGCCGACGTGGATTTTTCAACTGTTTGTTTCTCGTAACAAAAATAAAAATAAGAAGTTGTTATTGTTCCCTGAATAGACACTCGACTATATCGAGAGCTGGTCTTATGCCCTATTATATTGGGTACTGTGGGCTCGTATTTGATGTTTCCTTTCCATCTAAATAGAAGCATACTGTTCCTTAATTATGCCTACATAGGGGATTTTTCTACAACTTGTTGCCCTTTAGCTTGAGTTAGTAATGTCCCCACCTATCTTCAACAACTTAATTGATGTATCCACTTAACTAATTAATTAGGTGTTTATATTAATATTTTCCTTTAAAAGGTTGCTTGTTGGTGGCTTCGGTGGGGATTTTATATTATTAATAGAAAATTTTATATGGTTTACTTACGTAATATTCTACATATTATGTGATGTCTCCGCGTGTATTTTGCTGATGAAATTACATAATTTGCTTGTATTAATTAGCACTTCTTTAAAAGTGAGTTATCTTCCTTGTCGAAGGTTCATGAATCGTGTTTCTGAAAAGCTTTTGAAATTGTGGGTATCGGGGCTCACATAACAACCGCAGAATATATTAATAGGATCAGGTCAACCGTATAATCAACTAATATGGATTAGATTGTCAACATAAGACAAGACAAAATTAGATTAAGCAAAGGCAATCCGGAGCACAAAGCATCCCGTATTTACGTAGGGCGCGAAGAAGGTCGCACCCCAAAGGATGCGGTGTAGAAAGCCTACCTTAATGCAAGCATCTATGACTTGAATATGTGATCTATAAGTCACGCAGGTGCAACTTTGTTGTTGCTCCAAGACTCCCCTTTAGACAAAATTAGATTGACGGGAGAAAATAGTTGAGCCAAAAAGAAGGAAAAAAAGAAGAAGAAAAGGAACAGCGTATTCCCATTTTTGTACTCCCTCCGTTTCAAATTAGATGGGGTACTTTATTTTTTAGTTTGTTCCAAAATAAATGACACATTTCTAAATTTAGAAATAATTTAACTTTAAACTCTTCATTTTACCTATTTTATCCTTAATGAAAAACTTTTATAACCACACAAATATTATGGTCCCACAAACCTTTTTTTTCTTAAACTTTAAGACCACAAATTTCAAAATTTTTTTTTTCTTTCTTAAACTCTGTGCCAAGTCAAACTATCTCATCTAAATTGAAATAGAGAGAGTAAATTTTATCCAGTTTTGCAAGTAGTTTTGGGTCAACGGGGCTTCATTATGCATTTTGAAGCAGGCAATACTTTGGCGTTTGGACAATATCTAGCTGAAGTTAAAGTTGAAGAAGAGTGTCCGGAAATTGAATTGTTTGTGAATACGAATTTTACTTAGAAAAAAAATTAATGAATAAAAATCATTATACAACAGCAATAACATACCAAATGTAATTTTACAAGTGTGGCCTTAATTGGGCCGTAACTCTTTTATTGACTCGGTCTATTTTAACCTTGATATGTACTTAGACTCAGCCCAGCCATTTGAATCTAAATTGATGTTAACCGGATATGCAATAAACAATTCTTAAGTGATTGCAACTAGTAAGAAAGCAAGATAAATGGGGACACTGGTTTTTCTTAGTAGCATCACATTGGAGTCAAGAAGTCAAAGGGAACTTTGGCTGTTATAATTTTTCCTTTAGCTGAACTAAATATGCAATAAAAACGCATCCTCATGTCCAATTAATCAAAGCCATTGCATGCTTAATCACGTGCTTTTGGATAAGGCAAGAACTGCACAAAACGGTTGGTGGATAAGCCTTTGATATTTTGATATGATCCTTTGAGTTAGCAAAGAACCAATCAAAGAGGATTTAGAAACTTTAGTGAAAATTGGAGTCGCGAAGTCAAAAAGGAACTTTGGCTGTTATAATTTATCATTTAGCTGAACTGAACAAGCAACAATAACAACACATTCTCATGTCCAATTAATCAAAACCATTACATGCTAAATCACGTGCTTTTGGATAAGGCAAGAGCTGCATAAAACGATTGGTAGATAAACGATCCTTTGAGTTAGCAAAGAACCAATCGAAGAGGATCTAGATCTTTAATTAAGTGAAAATAGTGATTGAACAATATGATTTCAACTTTCAAGAAACAAATGTATCTGTCGTATAGAACTTGAAATTAAGTGATTCCAAAACGAGATGAAAGATGTGATTTTGAACTATAGAGATAACTATATACTCGTTTGTAACAAGTAGAAATCTTGAATGAAAGATGGACTATCTTGAACTCATTCTTGGATGATAAAAAACCTTGAAGTTCCTAAAGTCACCTATTTTGCAAAATTTAATGTAGGTTCTTCATTTTCATCAAGAAAATTTCAACCGAAAATTAAAGTTAGGGAAGAAACGAATCAAACAGTTTATTAAGTAATAATTTGATTAAATACCCGCATAGTCTGCGTGAGCCTTTGATACAAGTATATTAATATAATTTTCTGAATTTTCCATGAGTACAAATATTACAAAGGTATAGCACCAAGTGGGAAAATTTTGATGTAAATTGATCAGAAAAAGGGGGGAAATTGGGGAGAATATTCAGTTTTTGTATGGCAACAGGGGATAACTGCCAAAATTATGGTCATACGGTCCAGCTTGATTAGAAGACAACCCTTCACATCCTAATTCCTTTTTGCTCTTTTGCATTTTTAGTGCTTCGAATGCCTTTGCTCTCTGCAACATAAAAAAAATCCATTTGCTCTTCAGTTCACTATATAGGAAATTCGATTTTCTATGATGATTTATTTAGTCGCAACAAAAGTAAGCGTTTTGTGCACCAAAAAGTAGGGGTATTATTGACAGTTATTATAGTTGTTACGGAAAATAATACTTTAGTGACGACTATAATATATATGTACTAGTAAATTTTTACTGAAACTAGAAAAACTACCTGCATTGACACGAGAATGTCCGACTCTGAGTTGAAGTCGTAGTATGAGCTTGCTGCTGTAAGCTTCATGGAAAGGAACTGGATCCAACAAATTCGAATCAATCAATTTATTTGTTCCCTTTTTTATTCAACTAAGAAAGGAAGGCACTCTTTTTTTATATTTTATGCAAACTTACCTCCACTTGATTTTGCAAAGATTGTACGTAATTAGTTATTTCATCCAACATTCCCGCCATGCCCATTGTCTGCCATTTGATCAAAATGGTAAATTATTAATATCAAAATTCTGCTCTCTTGTCATTGTAAATAATGACATTTTTGCGAGAAAATAACACTGCATTATTAATTAAAAGAATTCGATACCTTGTAGCATCCTGGAACAATATCTTGCAAGCACCTAAGTTTTTCATTAATTTTTCCTCTTCTAACCTGAACAAGGACACAAAATGCATTAGTCATCAATATGTTACCGACACTATAGGTAATGAGTTCGAGCCGTAAATTCAGTCATTGATATTTGCGTCAAGATAATTTTTTATACATTACATCCCTTAAGATTAGGGCTGCTTATCGGGCGGATTGGGCGATTATTTACTCTTAACGGTTTGGCTTATCGGTTATCGGCTTTTAAATGTATTAATCCGCTAGCCATCCGATAAGATATCGGGCGGATTGGTATCGGTTTATCTCTTATCGGGCGGTTTATCGGATTGTTTGCTGACCGCTGTGACTCAAAATAAAATTCCTATGCTCAGCAGACTACATTCCAGTCTATAGAATATGGCACCTAAGAAGAGAGCTAAATAGAAGAAATATAGAGCTACATTCCAGCGTATTTCCTAGTAGAATCATCTCTGGGGATGAGCCTATTAACAACTTATAACTATCAGAAGAAATAGAAGAGAACACTGGGTATAACACATGACATCAAAATGATCTAATAGTAATTAACTGGAATAGTAAATTATAACTAAATGTCTAATAGTAAATTAGTAATAGATAGAGTACTGGAAGTGGAAGAAGGGTTTTTGATTATTTAATATATATATATATATATATGGATAAAAATAAATTTTACATACACACACACACATATATATATATATTCTTAACGGGTTAACGAATTATCCGTTAAGAAAATTGAATAATCCGCCCCCAAACCGATAAGCCGTTAATAAAAAAATTTCAATCCGTTCCCCGTCCGTTAAACCGTTAAACCGATACCAATAAGCCATTAAGCTTCGATTTCGGTTCGGTTTTCGGTTTCGGTTCGGTTTTGAACACCCCTACTTAAGATACCACCTTTTTTGGACCACGCGTACAATGCTTTATACATCGAACTGACACTATGTTAATGGAAAATACTATATTGGGTAGGTAGATGAATTACCCTTTCTGCTAAGCTGTGACTATCAGTAGCTTGGCCTCTTTTGGCTCTAACATGGACCACTTCCTTTGGTTTCTCTTCTTCCTTTTCATCACTACTTTTCACTCTGTTTCCTCTTCTTTTACTCTGTAAATCAAAAACCAATTTCATGCATCAGATATATGACTGGGAATAAAACATACAAATTGACAATTCGAATAAAAAATTAACTTACACTTCTTCTTTTAGTTCCATTAGCAGAAACTGCAGGGGATGAATATGCTGAACTGCTTTCTGGTGTATCAATTGTTTTCCTCTTTTTGCTTTCATTGATAGGCACCATACCGCAAGGTACTACTGAGGCATTAATCTTATCATCTTGATGAAAATTTTCTTGAAAATATTCCTGTAAATTTCCTGGAAATTCAGCTACTTGAGTGAAAACATTTTCATGGGAAAATTCCATTGAGCTCTGTAAATTGAAGCTTGACAATTCAGAGGAACAAGGGTTGATTATCTCTGGAAACTGGTTCATGAAATCCATACTCGAATCAATATTAAATAAAGAAAATGGTGAATTAATAAAATGATCAGCCATAGCAACTTGAGTTTTTTAAAAATGGTCTTTACGAGGGATGCTAATTTGTGTGTTTTTTGTAATGATAGAGAGCCTTGTTATGACTGCTTTTTATATATAGAACATGGGGTATGAATTTTTATTTTTATTTTTCATTAAAGAATGAAAAAGTGAAGCATTTTTAGAGTCCACGTGGAATTTTAGGCTTCTATGGTTTTGTTCCCTTTGCTGGATCATATTCAGGAGATATATCCAATTACACTGGACCCCGCTTCAGGCAGTGGTTTCCAATCAGGAAATTAGTAGCAATTTAGTTGAGAAACCCCCAAAAAATAAAAATAACAATATTTTTTTAAAATAGAATTCATGGGCAAGTAACCCTTCGGGATGATCGAATTGGTTGAGCAGGGGACTTCTCCCACTTGCATATCTCTTTGGTCGAACCCCTTACACGGGACTTGGTGTGATCTATCCTCCTATGTTGTTTGTCAACAAGGACAAGATTAATTTACCATATGTGCACCTGAATGATAGCGACTGCGTTTTCCCCGAGAAAAAAGTCATGGGCAAGTAAAAGAAGAAGTAGTTTGGTGGGGTAGTGCTTTTTTAAAAGAAAAATTAGCAACAGGTTCAGAGTATAAAGATCAACATTTAAGTTTTGACATGTATTTCTAATTTTAAAAAAAGGTCAGGGACAAGAAGGTATAGGCAGTATAGTATTAAAGTTATAGACAGTATAGTATAATGTGGTATGAGTTAAATTAAAGTTTTGGAAAAGGGGGCAGGATAAGACATATTAAGAGATTGAGAATGATATGCGTGCAGTTCATTTGATTAATAGTAATCAGTATCAAAGTGGTTGATTAGAGATGGGCAGTACTCATTATCAAAAGAGAATTATATCTCAGCATTAAATGAACTAATCCTAATAACATATTTGACCAAGTTTCTCAAGAAGCGAAAAAAGTCTTTTTTCTTCTTTTTTTTCCCTAACTTAAGGTGTTTGGCCAAATTTTTTTTTAGGGGAAAAAGTGCTTTTGGGAAGAAGCAGAAACAGTTTCTAAGAAGCAGAAAAAAATAGTTCTTACCAAAAGCAGAAACAGTTTTGACTTTTCTTCTTACCACAAATACCCTTAACAAAATATAATATATACCAAAAAAATCGTTAAACCTAATACTTAGGATATTAATGTATAAATATTTCTTATTATTTTTAGGATAATTTTTTAATATATAATGACTTAGGAGTGAATGCTTTTATATTTATTGAATGATTTTTAATATATTTAACTTGTATTAAAAGAATTAAGTACTTTTAAATTTTATTTTCAGATTTTACTTAAATAAAATGAAAAGATTAATTATTGTATGTAATAATAAATTTTTAAGATTATTTATTTACTTATAATATTAACTATTAAGTAAATTTATTCATGTCCTAATTCATAATTTGATACTTAAAAACATTTTCTGAAAAGCTTGGCCAAACACAAATTATTGTTCAAAAGTGCTTTTCAGAGTGATTAACTAAACACAAACTGATTTTCTTCGAAAGTACTTTTTTCAAGAGCACTTCTCAAAATAAGCTGATTTCTCCAGCTTGGCCAAACAGGCTATAAAACTGGTGGAAAGTCTAGAGACCATGTTGTTAATCACTATTTACAAGGGCGGACTTGCGAGTTCGGCCGAATCCAGTAACTTTGCTATAATCTTTATCTTTATCTTAAAATTCATTGAATATGTATAAATTGTTAATTTAGAATTAAGTAACATAAACAAACTAAAATTCTGAACCCACAAACTTTAAATTCTGGCTTCGCCTCCTACTATTTCTACATTTGACTCTCTAAGTATATCATCATTACCTTTCTGAAGTTAATTGGTTGGTGACTGTTAATCTCCACTACCTCACAGCTAAAATGACATTTCAATGAATGTGCATGAGCATCATAAAGAGTACCAGAAACAATGTTATTTGGATGCAGAGAGGAAATATAAGATTGATTGTAAGTTGTAACCATTGGGAAAAATTAGTATAAAATTGAAACAATTAAAAGAAGATTAACGTAGTCTATACGTAGAAATAAGATGCAATTATACACAACTCAGATAAATGGTCCAAGATTCATTGTAACAATTTGAGGTGACTTGCGTTACAGTACATCTTTTTTTTTTCATCTACTCAAAATATACAGTAAAAGAAACTACAAGTAATAAATAATTACTTAAGTAAACATAATCATCCCCTAAAAATTGTGTCACATTTTTTCGCTTCCAAGAGTAAAGAAGAATATGTGGTTTTCAAACTATATTCTTGCAAAAAAAATTAAAAGTACGGTTTCTTTTTTTGTTTTTATGGGGTATTGTCTTCGAGTATCTATGTTTTAAATAATTCTCGGAGATAATTTAACTTAAGTATTTAGCCAAACTAATCATCATAACGAAAAATTACACGCTAGCGATTATGGAAACTACATAATCAAAACTCATATCAATAACGATTTTTAATTAAAACAATAACGTCCTAAAATTATTTTTATTATAATAAAGTAAATGAATTATATGTGAGTTTCTCAGAAAAATTAAACTGATTGGACTATTGATTTATGATAGATTACTCGACATGTCAACAATTTGCCCCTAAGTAAATGTCAAGTCAAAAATAAAATAAAATATTTAATATAAAAGAGAATTTAAAAAGGCATTTACATGAAAAATTACATAGAAGTTGTTAAATTATAGAAAAATTACAAATGCAACTTTGCCTAAAATATGGATAAGCAAAAGTTTCTTTTGCGCGATGAATCTATATTATTACAAATCCAACTCAACTCACTTCTATACTCGACCCAAAAGATTGACTTTTGGTAATATTTTCTGCATATTTACATAATTCAATTATCTTATTATAACTAAAAAAATTGTAATTTTACCGATTCAGAAAATAAAGTTCCATGACCATACAATAAAGTAACCCTAAAATTCTAAAGAGCAATTTCATTTGTAGTTGGTCGGTGGAAACAATTATCATTCACTAGCCATATAATTTATAGCCCCAAACAAATTATAATAGCTAGCCTAAATTTATTCAAATGCGGTAGTAGATTTTGTTGCTATCGAGCCGTTCCAATCTTCCACCAATGATATGCAAAATCAGTTTTCTTATTGTCAAAATACCTCTTGTGGCTTTTGCAATTGTTGCATATGAAATAACGTTATTATCACATGCGCTTGGTTTCTTTTGCCCAGTACTTGATTTCTTTCAATTCTTTACCCAGTACTTGGTTACTTTTACCCGATGTGATAAATTATTCCAAGAATATTTTTGGATATTAAATATTCCAAAATAACAATATTTTATCAAACTGGAAAAAGGAATTGATCAACTTTAATATTTTTTTTAAAAAGGATTGAAGAGGCACGACGCAATGTGACCAATCAGTGACTTCAGACTTAAGGCACTATCAGATTTCAAAAGTATAGACTTGAAATTCATTCTCAAATAATAGTACAAAAACGTTATGATACACAAGCTTGACCAATGCAAACAAATAGTAGTAAGGTACATCATGATCTTCTTTAATCGTAAGGTACTTCACTATATTAATAGTAGTAACCAACTAACGCTAATAACCAAGTCAGTGAGGGGAAAGTCGATTAATACCAATGTACATAAATTCAAGAATTGTATACTTTCTGCTGGTCTTTTTCCATATATCATATATTAGAAGAAATTAATATTAGTTCTAGTTTTGGACCAGAAATTCGACGTAAATTTTGCTGATGAAGAGATACAATCTACTAATAAGGAATGACATTAATGCATTGAACCTCTATTGGTTGATGCTCGTCGCTTTGAGTCGCTATGAACTGATGAAGTGATTTACACGATCTAATATATTATATATGATCACGTCCAACTATACCTTGTAAAAAGGACTAAGCGGTCACTGCAAATATAATCCGTTTCAAGTCCGGAGTCGAATCCCACAGGGAATTAACTTATTTACTACAACTTTTAACAATGCTAATAATAAGCTCAAATAACTTCCGGATGAAAGATTTTTAATAGAGTATAAGTGAAATTTATTTATCTAATGACAAATGACACAAAATTAGCAATAATCAAGAATAAGGTTGAATTCAACGGTAAAAAGGATCTAGAGCTATTGATTTCCCCAATTGCCGGACTAATTCCTGGCACGTTAGCTATAATCTCGCCGTAATACTCTATGAGGATTATGAGTTTCGGGCTACCGTAATTATCTCTCGATCAATTACGATAATTTACTATAAGCATTCTCTCGAACTACTCTAGTTAACAAGTTATGCAACTCAGAATTATCCCACCAAAGCTTCGTTATCTCTAACCCCGCTTTTACATTCAAATAATTAATCTCTTAACTTACCCGAAAGTGGTGTTGTTCAACAACAATCTAACCAAGCGTTCTTTCTCAAGCAACACAAGGTAACTAGACATGATTAATCAAGGGCCCTTTCAATTAATCACAACCCAACACATAGTTGAATAATCATAGAATAAGAATGGCTCAATTATATCTAAACATAGTCAAAACTTCATACAACAATTGGTTCCATCAACCCTAGATGATGGGTTAAGCTACTCATACTAATGGATAAAAATTCACTATAACAATTCATAATCAGCAATGAAAGTAAGAAGAAGGAGAAGATGAAAACTCTTAGGAAATTCTCCGTCTTTTTTTCTATTGTTCCTCTCTTCTGGGCGAATTAGGCTTCATATAGGTTTAGGTTAGTATCTTTAGAAATTACATAATTGCCCCTGAGTTGTTGGCCTCCATTCGCCCATCCGCGGCCCCGGATCTGGCCGCGGATCTTCGTCAGTGTTCTGCCTCCAGTGCGCGATTTAATTCGCGGTCAACTCCGCGGCCGCGCACCTGGAGGCGACCTCCCCGCTTGCTTTTCTCGCTCCTTTTCGACCGGGCTAACCTTCGATTGGCCTTCCACACTCCATATTGACTTCAAAATACTCTTTAGCTTTCTCCTAACTCGGAGTGGCTCCTGCAAAGCATAAAATTCTTAATTAGAGCATTTTGTTATCTTTTAGC